CGCTATCAGATGTCTGCCTTAATTGATCAGTGTAAATACTATTGTTCCATGCTTTACAAACGGTTATGACTGACACCTCTTGTATGCTTTAATTGTCTCCTCATTAATACCTAGAATTAATTATTTCGACCAAATGGTTGTAGTTTTATAGAAAATTTAGAAAATGCAACACTTCGGAATATGATTCCACTTACGCCTAGGAATATCCACGTGACATAGTTATATTTAAATTGGGACAATGGTCAGTAAAACAAAATTTTTACCACATTCGATCGACAAAGTGAAAGTGGTGTAGAGAACGGAAGAGAAAGTAAAGTAGTCACTAAATGTGAATGAAGCAGTTAGTTTCAATATTTCTAGCAATACAGCTTTAAATGAATGGTTACTGAACGAAGAATATTCTTTTCGATAACCTCCTCTTCATAAGGCTATGTACTTAACAGTGAGTGAATTAGCGTTATGAACAACATTGTTGTTTAAATAACATCAAATCAATAATATTAATGGATTACAGTTCGATAGCATCAACGTAAAAATACACTGAATATCAGACAAGCAAATTAGGAAAGATAATAATACAAATTCATGAATTTATAGTCTCCACTGAAGGCCAGTCAGGGCAGTATCAGTGGCTGGTTGGACTCGCTTCTTTTGCACATAAAGCACTGGTGCAGATAAACGTCTTCAGTCGATTCGTCAGTATGCTTCCCGAAACCAGATGAACGGGAAGATGGGAAACAGTCAGAAATACGCATCTGCTTAAAACTGTATTCTCAAAATTTAATTAAACCGGGACAATTTCAATTTTATCTTATTCAAACTGCTGTGTTGTTAAGCATGTCAGAGCGTATAAGCATGTTTGAAGCCTTGCTCATTTGTATTCATTCACATAATTGAGTGTACAATATTTAGGTTGTGTCCAGAATGTCAAACATGACAAAGAAATAATTCGATAATTCTATGAATTGTTTTTGAATGCATAAAGGAAGTTTAAACTATCTAATTGTTAGGGCTTCCACAAACTTTAGGATACGCCCCAAACACGTTTTACAGATAAGTTTAAAAGATGTGTAAGCATCAATTTTGTGTTCTGTCTCTATAATATGTTTCTTAAAAGAGGAGCTAGATCTCCTGTTCTCACCATTAATAGGTTCCGGGGATCCTATTCGCTTCTGGAGTCATTTAGGAATATGCTCTGAAACTAGCCCTTACTTGCAGAGATGGATGAGTCCTCCCTATGTATGTGTATCCACACGTACATACAGTGAGATGTGATATCATTTTCCGCATATTCAAAAGGCTTAGATGGATAGATCGGCTTCACATTCTCAAGTATTATGATTTTAGCTACATAAAAAGTCTTTTTAACAGCAGTGTTCAATCTTTGTTTAGTTGTCAAGCTGCTATGATCCCCCTTATAGGGAAGCTTGATGTACACGTCTCTCTTAGCGGCGAGTTGGAGAGTGGGTCTTGGTGTTCTGACTACTTTATATCTCCTGATGAACTTGTCTGGGTAAATATTATCAATATTATCTTTCTTCTTCATCGAGGAAGAGGCACCTTACTAAGGCTCTTTTTTACCGAACAGGGCAGAAACTGTGATAATTAAGATACTGTCCTGTCAAGGTAAGTTTACTATAAATAGATCTTTTTATTGACCCATCAAGCCATCGACTTAGCAATATGTCTAGGAAAGATAAACACTTATCTTTCTCTTCGACAGATGTAAGTGATATGTTAATCTGAACTTTTCATTTCAAGTGTATACAATATGTTATCCAATTGTGTCCACCACTTATCCCTACAGGTTACATTACTTGATCTATAGGTAAAAGCGAACAAGTAAAGACACTGTTGGGTCAACATATAATTTTCAAGTATTGGTTTTATAGCGATTTTCCTTGATTGCATGGAGGATTTCATTATGAGCTGACATCAGTTAGAGAACCACTGGAAAACCTGGGAGTACTGGACAGCTGTTTCGTCTTAGTTTGGGACTCTTCAGCAATACGCGCCCGCCGGAATTCGAATTGGTAGAAGTTAGAATTCAAGGACCATTAGATCGGGTCCCAGTGGCTCAATGGTCTACGAGCTCGCATTATAACCAGAAGGTCCTGGGTTCGAATCCCGGCGGGTATGTACCGCTGAAGAGTCCCAAACTAGGACGAAACAGTTGTCTAGTACTCCCAGGTTTTCCAATGGTTCTCTAACTGATGTCAGCTGATGATGAAATCCTCCATGTAATCAACATATTATCTCTGGCTATTTGGCTAACTCATGTGATGCAGCGTCTCCATAAAACTATGAACCACAGATTGATTGTGTTGATTAAAACTTGTTACTTAGAAATCGGTATTTCAAACTAGTTAAATTACGTATACCTTATCTCTAACGCATTATTTGCACAGATCTTCCTGTTGTGGTATTTCTGTAATTTAAACTGTATTTCCTTCACGTCTCCCATGTATCTTCACAACACTGTATCATTTGCCTTATCTGAAATAAAATGTATGTTTTTATGCTGATCAACGTCTCTTTATATACTACAGACAGATCTTATCAGTAACACTCATTACCACTCATATCAACCAGTAGTGCTTGTTAACCAGTCACTGGTGTAATACCATTTATGGTATCAAGCAGATCGTCTATTGTGATTTAGTTTCCATAGGAAACTGTGTTTAAAATGTCACCTCGAACAGTGTAAACTGCAAATTAATCTGCGAAGTGGGGATTTTTTGTCGGTATGACGTCGACTGGCTAGTCGTAGTTTATGACGGCAGTAAGGTAAATAATTGTAGAGTTTCAATGATGCAAGATGATGGAGACATCACGTGTTGCATAGATTCGTTCTTAATGGTTGACACTTCCGATGGCTATTGACTCGTCAAACAGTAGTTTCATCCTTCTAACAATAAATCAATTTCAGTAGGTATAAACGAGTATAAACGAGAGATTTTAAGCTTCTTTTTCATCATATCTTTACGGTGATGCTTTATCCAGTAAATATATAATTCTATTTTTATTTTTTACATGCCTACACTTATTTGAAATACTTCCAGCAGTACAACTAACTCAAGCTTTTTTCAAGTAGTTTAACTTATAGAAGCTCGTTGCGAATTGAAAACAATTTTTAAATTTTTTTATTCCTTTAAGTTCTCAGTGGAACATAAGGCGCCTTTCAGCTAGAGACTTAAAGTTCCGATA